GTTGGTGGAGGACTTTGCCAATACAGAGACAACCTTCCACTCCTACCTGGAGAACGTTTTCTTTCTAAAACTCAGATGTGGTGGCCAGCTTAATCCCGAAGGGTCAGGGAAGTCACAACAGATCAACTAAGTCCTTAGAGTCTTCTCAGATGCCATTAGGAATACTCAAGACTAAACCTGACACGTTGTTGGCTCTAGATATGGTCGGAGTAAAAAAAGTAAAATAATAAGGAAACAGTTTTCACTTAGATACACAGGAGTAGTCACATTCCATTTCTCTGAAAAATAGTGTAACATTGAGGTGGCTACTGGAAAACAAGAAACAGAGAAACATTAAGAAAATACTATGCAAAAGATAACAAATGCAGGAATTTTCTCTGGTTAATTCTTTATTTTCAACATCAAATAAGTCAATAAAAATCTTGCACCAATCAGGCAACCCACCAGGTTTTTCACTTAGACTTTTTTAGAACTTTTTAGGTGCAAAACAAAGAAAAACTCACCAAAACAAAAAGACAACAATATTTTAATATGCATCAGTGAAGAAACAGAATACTTTGAACAAATATATCACGGCAGCTGAGCCTATACCAAAGAAAGGATTTTCCATTGACAGAATAGGTAGTGCACACAAAAGCATTAAAGTATATACACTAAGGTGATACATAAAGTGGCTTGTTAATGCAAGTCTCATGACTAGCAGTCTATCCCTTCATTCTCCGATGCGCACTTTCTGAAGAAACAGACTTCTAATTAGAGGCACACAGGAATACAGAGCATACTAAATTGCAAAATGGCAGCATATACATTTTTAGGCACATTTGAATGCATTTTTTTTTCTTTTTTTTTTTTTTAACACAGTGCAAAACTGAGTACCCTTGTGGGCAACAATCACTTTTAAAACAGCTTTCAGGATATAAGACTATCTACATTTGAAAGAGGAAAAAGAAGTTGCAGATAGAAAGGGTAGATCATTAACATTGGGGAAATACTAATTTAAAATTCTCAGATCAATTTGAGATTATGCTATAGTTGCAGGTGACAACGAAGACTGTTCTGTATTAAGATATGGTCTTAGACATGGCCTTTTTTACATATGCAGAATTTCTGTCTGTAAAGCTATATTACTTTTGTAGATAGCATTGAAAATGCTGTCTTTATTCATATTTAGAAATACACTTCACATCGGTTCATCTGCAAGTACCTTATATACAAAACCGCATTAGTGTTAGGTTGGATTGCATTCTCATTTTAAAGCGAGATATTACATATACAAAACAGGCTTGTCCTGTTCCTACCAAAGTTTATGATAAGATTCAGATCCTATTAAGGCAGAATTTTTACTTTGCTGGTGGTTTGTTTTATTTTAAACATTTGGCACAATTCTGCAGGAATCAATCCGCATGGATACAGGCTTCATTTCTAATCCTGTTTTGGGGGGTTGGGTTTTTTCTTTTTTTGTTTTTTTTTTGTTTGTTTGTTTGTTTGTTTTTTCTCTCAAAGTAAAGTGACCTGCTGACAGTCCTTCCAATATCGTTGGGAACTCATTTCAGCTTTTTTTTTTATTGTTGTTATTTTAATTATATTTTTTAAATTATCAAACCCTTCAGTGTACAGAAGGTGAAAAAATCAAGAAATGTCATTGAGACATAATGGCAAATTTACCACAAACACACACCAAGAAACTCTCGTTAAATTATTTTACCCCAGTACAAATCCAACTGCCCTAAACTGGGAGTTTTACCTGAGACAAAGTCTGCAAGACCAAGACACGGCTCGGACCACTACAAACCAGAGTAGCTTTCACATATTGTTGGAAACCCAGGCACCAGTACGTGATACGCACCACGCTATCCCCTCTCCTGCCTCCCAAGCTTTTCATAATAGTTGAATAACAACCATATTCACAAGCAAAGCAATAGTTCATCTGGTCTATTTCTGTTTGGCTTATGCTGGTATTACATTGCCTATGTTTCTAGGGTTTTTTTTGTTTTTGTTTTTTTGTTTTTTTAAAAAAATCCAAGTATAAACATTATAAAACAATGATTCTATCATTAGGTACTGTCCACAGACATCATTATTAATGTTTTGGTAAAAGCATAATTAGCTGCCCTGTTGATTTTTCTTTCAATTTTTTTTTTTTTACATGTGATTTTTTTTTTTTTCAGTATCCAGCACCAGGCATTCAGGTAGTACTGGTTTGTCAGCTGTAAATATAAAGTATATATATACATAAAATAGCGTCCTGTAAATTAACAATTACCAAACGTCAGGCACAAATGTCTGCATACATGATAGCATAATTCAGAATTACATAAGAAGAAAGTTGACAGTTTTGTATCGTAGACTTTGTTTAATTGATAGAATGGCTACATTCAGCTGTCTGATATGTGGACAATCATTTTTATAGATAACTATGTGAAGATTAATATAGTCATTAAGGTGCTGTTTCAATAAAATAGCATAAACAAGTCAATGACAGAGCTTTGAAACTGCCCCAGTGTAAATGAATCTACTACTGGGAATCACTGGGTGACCTTTTTCCTGGGTGCCTTTCACTGCTGTTGCTGTATGTGTTGCACTGGTCGGATCTCAGTTACTTCACCGCGAGGACTGGGCCTAGGAAAGCATTCATAGATACAATTGGAAACTGATGACCATTTCTGGCGTCCCAAGGCGCATGCTGACACCCTCCTGCCTGCTGCACCCCCCTCACAAACACGCTTTCTGGCTTCCCTGGGACTATTTGGAGAGTAGAGAGGTACTTAATTACCCTATCTAAGCACCACCAGAATCTGTCCCTTTGCTCTGAATGGCTCTCCCTGAACTAATCTGTTTTGCTTTGAGCCGAATTTGCACTTGAATTGATATAATGAACTTTTCTGGGTTATAGGAGAGGGAGGCATTTATTTAAATGGAATTGCTGTGCAGCTTATAAGCTACAAGCCTGCTCTGCATGTTCTGTTATAGCAAACACACCAGTTGCAGGTACAGTATATTTAAAGAGCAGCTCTAATACACAGTAGGCTACAAATGAATGATGAGGGTGTAAGTACTTAAGTGTAACTACAGCAATCCCTGTGTTCCATTCAAATCTTTACCTGCATTCATTTCAGGGCGTTCAGGATTTTTCTAGCATATTTGAAAAACAGCCTCAAAACAAAACATTCCAAGGCAGTTAGAAGCCTCCAAAAGCCCTTTAGGTACCAGATCTGCACTTACGTACAAACACACACACATAAACACACGCACTCTTTCTCTTACTGCATACATAAAAAGACAATTCTTTCAGTGTGTTCACACACACACACAAAGAAAAAAGACAGTATAGTATGCATCAACAAAAGGCCTATTAGTTTACAATGACTTCTTCATACATTTAGGCTAAGTGGACACTTAGCTAAGGAATCATTTTGAGTATATAGCTAGCATTTATGTGCAGATTGTTGAACTGTGCCTGTCCTTTGCTCCAATATTTATGTGATATGGACATCCTTCCATACATTTACTAGGAATCTAATCCATGCCTTGGAGCACAAAATGATCCTATGCCCTTCTGTCTTCACGCTTGCTTTATGACTTAGATCTCACTGTACACAGACACGGCCTGTTTGACAGTGGGTGTGATTAGGCATAGGCATTACTGTACTGCAGTAGTTGCACTGTTTATTTCCTATATTTTATTACTGCAGGATATTCCAATCTGGCTCACTTAAAGACTTCAGCTTTACTAATAAATTAAGCATCCCCCTACACCTTTCCCTGGCACCTTGAAAAGCTGCCATGGATCAGCCTATTAAACTTCCCTACTGACAGGGTGGTCACTTCCAACTGACTATTGGAACTAGTCCCTGTACAGCTCCCAAACCGCTCCAGAAGACTGGAAGCGCAAGATAGCACAGGAAAAAAAAAATCATTAATCTTTTAAAACAGCTCTAGCATATGTAAAATTCATATTCTACCACTCAGCATCATTCTCTAACATTTAATTTACTAGCTTAGAGGTGATCAAATACCAGCACCAGCTTCTACTTTGGATAAAATCTAGTAAGGATATATTGGTCTTTTTCTTTCTCTAAAAGTCTCTGCCCTTCATGTGTTGCTGAAGCTCTTAGTACCAGAGGACCTTCTGTGCATTTCGAGTTGAGCTGAAGAGCTGGACTAACCCTTACAGAAAGAAGTTGCACATACGCATGGGGAAAACTAGGTCTACCCTCCTGCCCTCTGTACCTGCAGGGACCTGGAGTCTTATCGATGGCTGAGAGCCTTGCCCACATCTGGTGTCACAGGTGAGCTGGATCTTAGCAGTGATTTTGTGAATCCCTCAAGGAGAGCAGAAGCAAGGAAAGGTAATGTCAAGCCCACATCTCTGACTGTAGGGCCATCCTCCCTCCCCTTACCTGGGCAGGTAAGATGCTGACACGTGAACTGGGACAGTCCCACTCAGCTGTGTCAAACTCATACTGGCATCCTGGCCCTTTTATTTTAGTTTTTATTTTATTTTTAATTCCATAAAATAGTGCTAGATCATGTACATTTGTATAAATTTCTTTTTTTTAAAGACCTGACAGTTTCTGTAAACATCTAGTCTGATTTAAGAGCAATTGTCTGTTATCACTGTTTGCCACATTGTCCTTCATATATACACTAAAAAGCAACAGAATGATTCAGCTTTATAGAATTGGAGAAGATGGGGTACACAAAAATGCAATTTGGCTAGAGGGGAGAGTAAGAGGACGGGCAAGCTTGGTCAGTATGACCTTGAAAGGGAATTGTCTGCTGATGTGAGCCACTAAGGTAAAAGAAACAAAAAGCAAAAATATTCACAGACAGGCGTTCTTTCCTACTGTAGGAAGAAGAGGGGTGGGAATCTACTACCTCAATACTACCTCAAACTACCTCAATGCTTTAAGGAGGCAGTCACTAGCAGTGGAGTTTCACTGTGGCACGTTGAGATGGCAGTCAGCTTTCCAACATCCCTTGCTCAAATACTCCTGGGATCTCTAAAAAACAGTTTCAAAGTTTCAAGCAAGTAAAGGACTAAATGGGCGCGGAATTTGGGATGGACACCAACAAAAGCTACTGCTATGCAGCTACCCATATGTATTGGTGGCATGGCCTATTAATTTATGGTAGTAGAATTAACATTTAAATTTAGATCAGGGCTTACCCAAGTTACATGCAAAGGTAAAATAAAAACACTGCAAATATCAAATTAAGTTAGCTGGACAATCCTTGCTGGCTCTCCATAGCAACAAAATGTCTTCCATTTAGGATGAATAATCAATTTAAGCAAGTGCTTGACAAACACTCAAATCGAAAATACAGGTAACTGATGTCATTGGAGTGTTTACATAGGCGGCATTAGAGTTGAAATGAAGCATGAACTAGGTAGTATGCTGCTGGGTTTCTCATACCATTATATAAGCTGATTCTTTCTATATTGTATTCTGCATATTCTCTTCTCTATTGCTCATATAAAAAGCCTGTAAGGAATGCGATGAAGCCGATGAAGCTGTCAGCTGGCTCCGGTTCTCCTCTTCCATCGGTGCCGCGCTCCTGGCTGCCGGGGCGTGCAGTCGGTGAGCGTCCAACATCTCCAGCAAGAGATCATAGAGGGGAACTACGTTTTTGCACTTCATATTGTACAGGTGCTCCATTCCTTTGTTGCTGTGAGTTTGGATGAAAACAGAAATTACACACCAAATGTGCTATGAAAAAGTTACCAGCTAACAGTAGTTATGTTCACATACATTTTATCTCATATATAATGCAGTATCTAATTTAATATTACAGTTGCTGTAGGCTCTTTTGGCAGTAGAAGAAAGAAGCTTCTTAAAAGAACATTTTAGGAGCAGATCTGCCTTCTAAGGGTGGCTCTTTTGTTCTCCTTTTCCTAAAAAGCAATCTAGAGCAAATGAGCATGGCTAATTTAGGCACTTCTTTGATGAAGTGGTTGGGCATACTGCATATGGAACTTCTTTAATTGTACAAATCGTTAAGACAGTAAGAATGGGGAGAGAAAAAGAAAAAGGACAGATCAACAAAAAATGTCAAAATGACAGATACGTCATCTCCTCCAATGAAAAAATTATATAGTTTGGCTTTTTCCCAATGATCTGTTTCAGTCCAGTGTGTAACATCTGTATGTTTCAACGAAAGTAGCTGTGATATTGTACTTACTTACCACTATTTTATTACCAAGCTAATGAAATAGTATCTGTGTAACAACAATGTCACTTATCACTTTGAAAGAATAAAATCTATACTGTCTCTTTGTACTCACTGTTTGTTTAGGCTTGTCACATTACTAACATGCCAGCTACTGAGTGGCTACCTTAAGAGAAAATTAAGTTTGTGAGAATACTGCTGAGACCAACAGCAAATAGATAGTTGCCTCAAGCACTTCATCTCTAATTAGCAAACACCACAGTGCTCTAGACTGGGATTCAAGAGATCTGCATTTTAACTTCACCCATAAAATATCAATAATGACACTAATCTCTTTTCTAAGGTGATTTGCAGTCAAGCCACTTGTGGAAAGTGGCCATATAATATAAAGCAATAGTTTTATTAAACCTTATCTTACAGGAAACTAAGTTCATAGAACTAGGATTCTGTTACCTTATCATTATCTATGCAGCACTTTTTGAACAGAATAAAGGAGCACAAGACATTAGGAGCAGATACTGCTGACGGCACTATTGAAGAAGCAAAGGAAAAGTAGAAGCAAAAAATGGGGGGAAGTTTATTCCTTTCTCACAGTAATCCAGAAAATTATTTAGCACACAAATTCCCTATGTCTACACAGACTGTTTTTCTTTTTTGGTAACAGCTCTACAGTTTTTGCTCCCATTTGTGGAGGAAAGGGCTGCTCCAGGTATGCCTCTGCGTGCCTGCTAAACCCTGCCTTACACTCCTGCAGTACACCAGGGCTGGCCACGTGCTTGCTCTCACCTCATATGCCTGATGTGTGAGAGGATGAGCAGGAGCTGAGCCAGCCGCCTGTGCTGCTGCTGCAGGGAAAGACCCGACTTGGCCATTAAGTGTATCAGAGTATCCGTGATTTTGTCCAGAACACGGTGAATATAGTCTTTCTCTTCCAGGGATTTCAAGGTGCTGGAAAGAAAAGTGTACACACCTGGAGTAGAAAGGAAAGAGAAAACAAACAAACCACAGACAAAAATTACTTTGATAGTAAGACTTGCTCAAGGTATGCCTCATAGTTGGCTTCTTTGGCTGCATTAGACCACAAGACTTGACCTGTTAACCTCCTTTCCCTTCCACTCTGTCCTCTTTTTCCTTCATCACCTGCTTGACCAGAGGCAAGTCTGGCTGCCCAGGACAGGTGGGATGCACCGCGCTGGCCAAAGCAGTCACTGACAGGAATAATGAGAGAGCTAGGCCCTCCAGGTGTGTGGCAGCACACCCTGCGCCATGACCTGGCAGGCATGCTGGCTTCTACACATCTTCTCACCTCCTGGCAATTGGGAGGGATGTGGGGAGAGTCACCACACAGCACAGAGCTGCACAGGAGAAAGCACAAACAGATTAGGTCTCCCAAAGAGAGAAATGAAGGTGCTATCCAGGAGCCTGTTTGCAGAATAAATCAGTCTATTTGTAAAGTATATGGAAACTAAAAACTTCACAGGCTCGTAAGGAACACAACCCTCGCACTGACAAAACTCTTGTCCTACTCCAGAGCTGGGTTTCAGCCACTGCAGTGAAGAAGGAAGAGGAAGAAGATGCCTCATTCAAGCCTGGCTCCCGTCCATGGCCGAAGCCACTGTTCTCGGCAGTAGGGGGAAATGTGCCTTACTCAAGGTATACTATATGTCCTGCTTACTCAGCCCAGGCAATCAGTATGTGCAGGTTACTGTGTAAACAAAAAGAGTTTTTATTTAGCCACAATCACCTCACCTTAAAAGAAACCTCCAAACCAAACGAGACCAAATCAACCAAACAACCTTTGAAGGTGCACCCCTTCACCTGCTAACCTGGTTTTCCTTTAAAAGCCATGTCCAGAGCCACCCATGTAAATAAACAGACATATTATCTCTGAAAATGAGAAGCTAGAAATTTTGGACTGGAAAGAAATTATTTTCTAGAGACGAAAACACCTTCAAATTCATCACCACTTCTGTTTTATAGAAAGTGCTCTAACCCAAACACAAGCACAAACCCTTCCACCGGCAGCAACTGTTGTGAGGCACGTCAGCTGCCTAAATAAGAAATGCTGAACATCACAAGACCTCCAGCACCATGATGTAAACACAGGCAGTTGAGGCAGCTCACTGGAACGGCACACTCAGAGCTGTGAAAACAATGGCCAGCAGGATCGAGAGTGCCCAATTTGTCAGCCAAGAAAAAAAAATCCATCAACAGGAGACAGACACAGGAAGAAAAAGATCAAGACGATTAAAAAATAATAACTGATGAACAAACAGCTCAACCTCTGAAAACCATCAGTTTACAAACCATGCAATAACCACTTTTTTCACACAGCTATTTATTATTTTTTAACTGAAATATAAACTCGACAAAAAGAAATTAAAAGTTCTTTAGGCTTTTTTTTTCAGCTGAATGACTTTTAACCACCCTCACATAATGCCTATTGTCAATACTGGGTATTACAGCTTAGTAGTATCCTGTAGAGAAAGCTTTCTTAAATTTGACTGATAAACCATAATCCGTTAGAGGGAAACATTATTCTCATAATCCCATAGCGCTTCCAGGGCATCTTAGTTCAGGCAGAGAATACTAGTGTGCCCTGGTAGCACTATTCCTTAGCTTAATAGCTTTGAAACCAACAAACAAAAGAGTCCTGTTGAGAGGAATTGTTTCTCACCTAGGTCTAGTCTAGTAGCTATTAAAAATTATAAATCAAAAAAACGCTCAAAAATTGTAGCAGCTTCAGGCAATTGCCAATCCATGACAATAACAAAGACAAATGACAGTGGGTTCTCATTTCTGCCCCAGGTGATTGCTCCTGCCCCAGGCCAAGAACCTAAAATTTTCCCAAAAGAAATTCCAGCTATCCATCACACAGACACACATACACAAAGGGTGATTTGAAAGAAGAGTGAATAAAAACTGCCTTAGCAAAGTGAAATTTAGCAGCCTCAAAGGTCTTTCCAAAGTCTGAAGCAGAAAGAAAGAAAAGCTACCAAGTTGTTTTCCAATTCTATGTCAATATTATAAAATATTATAGGATAGAATTTGAAAAAGCACTGCCCTGAGAGCAAGCATCTGCCTACCTGTCTCTTCATTTCAAAGTTTCAAAGTTATACACAGAACAAATTATCTTAGGGACTGCAGTCTTACCATGCAAGATGCTGTCAAACCATGGTAAAGGACTTTTTGGATATCACTGGTGGGGGGAAGAAACCTTCTTCACCTATTCTGTTGAAAAAGCCCCAGTTTAGAGCATCTTTATGCTTGCCACCAAGCAATTCTCCTGACTCTTCATCCCCTTCCACCATGCCCCATTCCTGGGTGTCTCCATCTGTAGCAAGCCGGGCTGAGCTCTGAGCAAACTTGGCTCTGGACTCATCCCAAAAGAAGAAATATATAAAAAGTGCAATTTAAAAGGAGTTGGAAAAATTAACAGAACAGTAATAAAAAAATAGTCACATTAAATAATGCATCAAAAGGTCTGCAGGCTTCACAAAATCAACTAAATCTTTCCATCACTATGGAATAAATGATTAGGTGAATTAGTTGCTGAGGCAGAAATGACCTACAGCTTCAACTTCAAAATGAAAGGCAATTGCTTTGCCACATAACACCATGCTTCTTCTCAGCTCTACTCAAAAAGCAAAGGTCTTTTTGCTGCCCTTTGACATTTTTAATATTTACTTTACAGTGTTAAGGAAAAGCATTCTATTATTGAGCTAAATCTGTTTTTGAAGAAAACAGTTGAAAAGTTTATTGCTGCAGCTTTGAAGGGCAACTTGCATGCAACAGCACATATAAAATGTAGACAGCAAAGAAGCCGACATTCACTGTGTGTTTTCTCACATTTTCAGTATAATGTTTACATTTATTTGGGTACCTAATCATAGAATAAAATTTAGGTTTGTAGGAAGGGGTCTAGAGATCAACTTCCTGCTCAAACAGGGCTCATTTCAAAGTTAGAGCAACCTGTCCAAACCTTCGGCCAGTTGAATTTTGTGTATCTCTGAGGACATTGATCCTACAGTTCCATTCACTGACCGGTTCCAGAGGATAGTTCAGAGTACCTATGCTAGATAACAGTTATTCAGCTATTATACATAGTCCAAATTATCCTATTTATCTGTCTCTGTAACACAACCTAGCCTCCTAATTTGGGCATTTAAGGGATCTGACAGCCAGAACCTTGTGCCCAAATTCCCTATTCCCAATAATTTATTCTTCTGACATTTCTAAAATTCATAGGAATGCAAAAACTAAAATAAAAAGGGAATTACATTTAGCCATAAAGTCTATTAGAAGTGGTATTGACCATGCATTTTGTGAACTCAGATATACTGCAATGAGTAAGTACACAAACCAAAAAACATGATGATTCGCATAGCAAAGGTAAATTACTTTTACCATGAACCTGCAGCAGATTTACCTGAAATGTGCGTTCTCATCTATCACCATCAAGACTCTTCTGAAAACATATAAACTTCTGGGCAGCTACAAACATGCATTCATTGTCAAAACAAAACAAAAGGCCCCACAAAATCAGATCACTCAGTTCTGACCTTGTAGCACACAGAGCACCATTGATCTGAAATACTTGCTGTGCAGTTCTGAACCCTGTAGGAGCGAAAAGCTAATACCAGCTAGCCTCTCCCACTGGGCTCATCTCTTTTATGTGCAGAAGCAACTCTGGCTCTGTTTATCTAAGTCCCACTGACTTCACTTGCTGTATTTTTCTCACAATTTTTCCTTAGGGGAACCTTGAAGCAAACATACCATTAATGAAAGTGACATGTGCTTGTAACATATACCTAGCAACGTCTGGCAAAGCATTGACTAAATAACAAATCTAGTTTTCTGGATCAATACTAAATATAGCAGTGGAACAAAAATTCTTAACAGTGTGGGTCAATAATTTCAAATTCAAGACAAGAACCTTCAACACATTTCCTTCAAGCTTCTAATTTCATTTATGTTCTAGCATTAATTCAATATTTTTATAAATCAATTATATATTCTAGATTTATTTAAGAGGATAATTACATTTGAATATATTAGTAAAAAATCTGGAGGAGCATCACTTTTCACAACAAACTAGAAAAATACTCTTATAATTATCAAGAATATGAGAGGAGAACAAAATGTCAGACAGTATTTAATTACAGTTACCTCACTTGGACATCTGAAATAAAAACAATAGCCCTTCATTCTTTATATGCCAGGTTCTTGCCTCAGATGTCAATCTTTGGAAATTAGTGGCAATCACAACAAAAACAGAACCATATTAATATCTCATAGAACATTAAAACATTAGTTAATAGTTTTATATTTGACAAGATTACAAGATTACTATAAGACGTTGTTGGAACTTTAATCTTTTTCTTTTTTTCCTGAGTAGAGCAGGTCCTAATGTCCGTAAATGAATTAGTGCCTGGTTAATAAGGCAATATCTGGCATGTTTAGAATTATTTGGTGAGAATTAGCTCAACTCGTATTTCATATAGCTTGGGAAAAAGCTATGTTACACAACCAAGTAGAAAAGATGCACAGCCCTCCACAGGTGTCTTATACAGTCAAATACTACCTATGAGTTTAGACACAGCAGGGAAAGTGGAGAACAAGTGTGTAAATCTTCAGAGAGTGATATTAAATTCTGGCATCTCTAGTCATCAGGTAACAGCTTAACAGAGACTTCAGTCTAAAATTTTGATTTTGGTGCCTACATAATTGTTTTTGAGCTCTATTACTACCATGAGAATATTGTGACTTTCAATTCCGCATTTAAATGGAAATTGTCTTGAGTTTTCTGTCATTTTAAACAGAAAAAAACACCCTCCTGTGTTAAATATAAAGTATTTTCTGCCACACTTCACAATCTTGATCTCCTTATTTCAATCGTGATACGGAATTCATCTCAGCTAGCTTCAGTTATTTGATATCTGCACTATACTGGTTATCTAGTCATCTATTTTTATATTTATATAAATACATATCTTTATATATTTTTTTCATATATGCCTTTATATAAATATATATGTATTTATATTTATACAAATATTTATATATATTTATTTATATTTATATGTTTCTTTTTATTTTTTTATCCAGGCACCTATTTTTGAAGGTTACTTTAGAATGATGTTTACACTCCCAAAATATTTACTTCATTTCATAATTTATAAAAGTTAAATGTTTGCATCAAGTTTAGATGTCTGTACTTCACTATAATGCAATCCATCAGTTTTGAAAAACTCAGACACATCTTTTGACATTATTTCCTTTACTTTACCATTACCAAAAAAGGTAAAGCATAGGCCCAGTTTTAAGATTAGGCTTTTTTTGGAGGGGGGGGGCGGTGTTGAAGGGTAGCTCCAGCTACTTTAGTCTCCCCCAGTCCACACTTTACCATGACCTGCCAGTGCCTAGTTCAAAACAATGAAAATAAATCCTTTATGTTTGCTACACTCTGTATATCAACTCCTTTTTGCATTAAATCACTGGCTACCAAATACACCACTGAACAGGTTTACCTGTTCTATCCCTCTACCCCTACCTGGTGGTCCTATGTAGCATGTATGTAAACAGTTCCCTTTCAATTGCTACTGTTTCAAAACAAAAACATCATTCGGTGATAACAACCAGCACTAAAACTTCACGTAGAAGAAAAAGCAATGACTCGAGTGAAAATAAAATGCATCACTTACCAGAATTGAGCAGGATGATGGACTTAAGGCACACAAATTCCTCTCCCTGAAGATTCATCATGCGGAACCGAGCAGCAGTAGCCAGCAGCATGTCAAAGATTTCCACCATGCCCTCTACACATTTCCCTTGATTCCTGTGTGAATAGCATCAAGGGGGAGATGTTCACAGCTTTACTACCACAGCATGAGCTTTTCAACACTGGATCATTCTCCTGCAATTTAATTTCCCAAACACTGTCCTGCAGGCTAGCATTTGATGTCCTAGCCTATGCTTATCTGGCATACATGTGATTACAAAATAATGAATGAATAAACATTCTTTTTATTGCAAAGACATGCCTATATTATAACCTCATCACCAAGTGGCATTACTACAGTGGAAGGTATGAGATTGACTCAACCAAAACTTCATCTGGAGGACCAATATGTGTTTAAACATCATTTTGATTTCTTTGCTTGTGTTTCACTTTTGTTAAATTGTCTTCTATTTTTTTTAATTTAAATAATTCTGTGTATAACATTTCTAACTAAGGTTTTAGACTTCTTTGTACCTGTCTGCAATCTTTAACGTTCCAAATTGCTCCTCCCATTTTTCTTTTACCTCACTGTGCCTCCTTAGAGCTATTTATGAGCTAAAGAAGGACTTCTGAGGCAAATCTTGTTTATATGAGGATGTTTACAGAAATCACAACCTTCAGGCATTCATTAATAATGGCAATTAATACTACCTTCTGCTCAAAATACTAGTTATCTTAATTTGACTAACGTTCACCTTGTACACATAGCCCAAGCTCAGAATTAATATAGATTGCATGTATTGAGAATTTTATCTGCAACTTTGCTCAACATTAAATTTAAGATCATTTATATTACCAATATTTTTAGCTAAAACTACTCACTTTTATTAAAACTTTATGGGTGAAAGTTTGATTTCTAAGATTTTAAGTGGTGAGTAAATTTGCTGATTAAAAATACTTTTTTGAAGTATAACTTTTATGAAGAGCTTTTTAAAGGTGTTTACCATAGGAAACTTCCAAAGAAACCTCAAATTATTGGATGGCTAGTATTCATTACAATTTATAATTCAGACATGGAGTGAGCATTTCTTAATCTCTTTGGGACAGAAAAAACAATTTGACTACTGGCACAGATATACCTGCCTCAGTTCTCACACTGTTGATAGACCATTTGGCTAATATCTAAAATCCCACGGCTCCCATTCTCAAAAAAAAATAAAACATTTTTAAACATTTATTTTTTATTTATTTATTTTGGCTGTGTTCTGAGAAAATTCTTTGGAGTTCTCAAATAATGCTTAAAGCTAAAAAACAATCAAAGGAGGTAGCAGCATATCTGCATGTACTTGTGCCCCCATCTCCCTTCAATTTCAAATCCCCATAAAGCTTAATTTTGTTCTTGAACTTAAATCTACAGCTCCCTTGTCCTAGGACAGTGCCCACCAATCAGTGACTAGGGCATGTGAGAGAAACTGTTTCAGTTTGCTGCTTGGATAGATGTTTAAAGAAAGCCAAATAATATCAAGAAAACAAATGTAGAGATAATTCTTAAAACAGCCAGCAGTCATGTCGGATAAACAATGCCGATAAAAAAAATAAAATAGCCAGTGGCCTGTTCTATTTGGAAGTGAAATGTCAGAGTTTGAGCTCCAGCTCTGTGCCAGGTACCACGGAGATTCAAAATGTGGGCTCCAGAGCAAGTTATTCAGTGACTGCTATAACAGCATTTTTTCTCAGATTTGTTGTTGTTGTGGGGATAGAGACTTTCATTTTAAAAAAAGCAGTAATCTCTTTGCACAATGAGACATTTTAAAATACCTTGTGGTCATGCATCAGATGCAAAAGAGATCCTAACAACAAGTAAGAATTATGGCTAGGTACACTGCAATAGTAACAATGTAATGTAATTTACAGGATCAGTATGCCAATGTCTTTTCAAGTGGTATAACCTATGGAAAAAAATCTACATTCATTCCTGTGCGCTTTAGGAAAATCTTATTTACCTTCTCTAAATTTCCATGTGTGCATATTTCCCACTAACTGAATTCTCATGATAGACTAAATAAAAAAGATGTAAAATTAAGGGATTCTAAGTATCTTTTGATCCCAGTGAAATTCCAGAGAACCATAATTAAAAAACAATAGATAAACCACTTGAGGTGAAGTCAGATTCTTAAACTTAGGTGTCGGGTATGCAAGAAACAATTCGGGAAATTTTGTCTTATTATCAAAGTTAGGCTGCAGATCCAGCCTCACTGAAATCAGGGGGAACTGGAGGAGTTTAGCATCTTTGAAATGGAGGTTTGTAATCAAATATTTTTATCATCTTGGCTACAACACTGATTTTCTTTGTTACTCAAAAGAAACTATTTGAAATAGGTCCTCCAGAGGAGAGAATAACTCTGCTCAGAAGACTCTTTTGCTATTTGTCTCATTTCCTCCTTTCAGTAAGGAGGATATTTACAGCAAATTACTGGCATGCTATGGATGTAGTGGTGCTATCTCCAGTTCTCCTAGTCTGCCTTCTTATTTTTTAACATAAATGGACACTGTTATCACTGAATCACATTATCATGTCTTTATAGCTGCATATCCAATAGAAAAGGCCTGGATCACATCAATGAAAGCAACAGATATGAAGATTGTCTTTATCTTACCAACATGCTCTTGTCTTTCAGCCTTCTGAAAACAAAATAGTAAAGGCATGTTTACTGTAAGATGACAGATTGTATTCTCAGAGGAATCCTTGAAATAGGCTACTGGGAAATGTTTAGGGAACTTAAGGCAACTGAATTAGGTTGTTAAGTTTAATTTTTAAACTGTGTTAAACTAATGCATGAGTAGTATGTGCTTTATAGGAAATTGATAGAATCATAAATCATTCAAGCGGAAAGAGAGTGCAGAAGGTCTCGGACCAAAACCCCCTGCCCAAAGCAGGGTCAGATGTGAGCTCAGACTATGCCACTCCAGACCTTAGTCACTTGAGTCTTGAAAACATCCAGGATCAGAGACTGTACCACGTCTGTGGGCAAACTGTTCTAATGTTTAATTGTTTTCGCAGAGAATATAGTGAATTATTTTCTCTATTATATCCTCTACGAATCTCCTCTTTATCACCCCTCAGTCTTCTACCATGTATCTTAATAAAGAGCCTTAAAACCGTCTTCACAGCTATTAAAACACTAGGCTCAGCTCTCCTCCAGGCTGAACAGGCCCATCTCACTCATCCTCTCTACACACCATGTGCTCCAGTCTCCAAATATCTGGGTGACTCTCCACTAGACCTGCTCAAGTTTATAAACATTCTTTCTATAATGAGGGGACCCAAAAGTAGATACACTATTCCAGATATGGTCTAATGAGTGTAGCAAAAGGGAAGTAATCACTTTCCTTGGTCTACATTACAGTCCAGGGTGTTCTTTGCTTTCATTGCTAACAGGGTGCACTTCTGGCCCATGTTCAGCTTCTTTTCCAACAGGATCTCAGGCCCTATCCAGCAGAGTTACGCCCCAGACAGTCCCAGCTTGAATTTTGACAGTGGGTTAAGTTTATCATTTTTGTTGCTGCATTTCATGACATTCCTGTCAGCCTATTTTCCAGCCTAAGTCTCTGAATGCAGTCCTGCCCTTGAGCGTATTGACTGCACCCCTCAGTTTGGTGTCATCTGCAAATATGATGAGAGTGTGCTTCACCTCCTCCTCCAGCTCAGTGACAAAGGGAACAGACCAGAACCCCTAATCATCACACACTCTCAGAGATCATAGCAGCCTTGCAGTAACATCATTTAGCATTCTTGGATGTAGCCCATCACGTATGCATTGAGATTTCTCAGGAGATTCATAATTCAGTCATCTTTTACTAATTCACCGCTGTCCTCCTTGAATCCTGCATTCAGGCACTAATAGCCTAAATGTCATTTGTCTTGGCAAACCCTAGATATTGGGAATGTCTTTTACAATAATACAGGATCAAGTGACAGAGAAGTGGCAGGGAGGGGATGGACCAAACTACAACTGTTTGAAAAGATGATGGAAGAAAACACGTTTCAGTAGTGGCAGATGTTAAAATGAAACCCAATGACTACAAGTTGCTTGGAGAGTTCAGGTTGGATAGGCAGAAAAACTTAATCACTAGAATGGTGGTGCAGCCCTGAAACTGGTACCTAGACAGGCTATGTATTTTCCATCCTTGAAGAGATTCAAGACTCGGCTAAACAAAGTCACAGGTGGCCTAAGCTAGTGTTGGCAATGGTCCTGCTTCAAGTGAGAGACTGGACTAAATGATCCCCAACCAACATATTTATGATTCTAAGTGAATTTCTGGAGAAGTTCCAGAGAGAAGTTAGTTTCAGAGGGTTTTGATCAGAAGCAAGAATTTATTACCAGTCTTGAGCTTTTTAACCAGGATTCAAACATGCAGCCAGTACCTAACTATAGAATAAGAGTAAACTTTAAATCATATATGTTGAATGAGGTTTCCTCCACTAATACAGTAGTAAAAAAAAAATCTATTACAGCTATTTAAAATATGGCACAGAATACAAAAAAAAAGAAAAGAAAAAATCAAATGTTAAATTGACTTTCTTATAATTTGAAACCTCTTCATAAATTTAAGCTTTGATTGTATTTTGGAGAAAAGTTTGAAAGGAACGTATTTCTGTCCATAATAATCTCTATATTCTGAATACACAACCCCTCAATATTTCATCCTCATTAATATATTTCCTTCACATATTTCTTTTATATTTGGTTAGGATTTATTTATTTTCATTAAATTATTCAAAGTCACATTCAGAGAAAAGAAAATTGTTTATCTATCTAGAAAGAGGAACGCCAAGGGGGAGATACATAAAGTAGCAGCATGCACATTTGTCAGAAAGGTTCCTTCTGCTTTCTTTTTCCTCTTCTTTTTTTGTGCTTTTATTTCCCTGGAATCTTTTTCAGTTGATTTAGTACACTGTTTGAGTAATTATTCCATGTTGTTCAAACAAATACAATATTTCTGGCTACTTATGCAAAAATATGTGCCATTAGTGTCCACATATTAATCACAGTCTAAGAATCACTAACAGCTGGGCAATTGGAGTAGTAAAGAACTGGCCTTAACAGAGAACAACA